CTTCTCCTCTCTCTCTCTCTCTCTCTCTCTCTCTCTCTCTCTCTCTCTCTCTCTCACACACACACACACACACACACAATCATTTTGAAGATTATTTGCTTCCTGACTGCATAAAGGCAACATCAAAAGGTTAAAATGTCAGACACTCAGAATATTTTATCTCAGTTTCCTAAAGAAAACAAGCTCAATTTCTTTGGGTTTTAAACAAATTTCCTACCCGCAGTGGGGCTATGGGAGGACTGTTCTCCATAGAGACCATGTCCCCAGCCACCCTGGCCTCAGCCAGGTTGAGCCTTGCTAAGCATAGGTTCTAACATGGTCCTAGACACCAGCAAGGGGTTCACGGTCACTGAGGAAGGGAGATGCAGGCCCTGGCCTGSCCTGGACACAGGTCCGCACTAACCTTCCAGGATGAATCAAGAATGCAGCCTGCCGGACCAGGGGCAACAAGGCCTGGGGCATGCCTGCCAGGGAACTGCTCCGTGGCAGAGCTGCACAGCAGGTGACTTCAAGCCAGAGAGGAGTCGGTAGTGATGGAATGTTGATGACAGCATTAACATGACTCATTAAATACCCAAACTGGGCCCCGAGGGAGGGCTTAATCAGCAGGGCTCCATAGAGGAGGCCGGATGCACACGCCATTGCCCATGCTTACAGCATCTGTATCATGATCCCATCTCGACCAGTGAAGGAGTCGAGACCCAGAGAGCCCAGTAGTTTGTTCTAGGTTGGCATCAATGGACTGTGATGGCACAGTCAGGGTTCGAATCCAGGTCCACCATTGCACATAAAAACCCACCTTCTTTCTACTCTACCAGTATCTTTATGACACACGCACACACACTTACGACTCTCAACATGGGCTGATGACTACACTGTTCCTTTCCACAGTTATCTTCAGAAAGAGGAAATACTGATATAAACTGAACGGGGACCAGAGTGGTACCAGGGCTCCCAAGAGAGGTCCTGTGGAGGCAACGTGAATACCCAAAGCACATTCCTTTGGCAAAGCAGAGAGTTCTAGATGTGTGCAAGTTGAGGGGGAGGGGCAATAACTGATGTTCCATGGGGAAGGAGGTGCCCAAGCAGATGCCTAAGAGCTGAGGTCTGGCAGCTTCGTGGAGTTGTAGCTCTTGAGCAGAAGGTGAGCCTCCAGGAAGGAGCCTGGGCCGGGCTTAAGCACAGAAGTTCAGGCCCATTGAGAGGATGGCTTCCTGGCTTCCATGGCCTGGAGCCTTCAGTCACACTGAGGGCACAACCCTGCCAGCCTCTCCACCTGAGCCATCAGCTGGCTTCCATTTTCAAAGCATTAACACAACTGCTACTTCTTGTGATCCCTGTAGAATTCTGGGATTTCCAAGAGTGAACCACAWGTGTTCTTGTGGCACAGATAAGGATGCCAACACCCTAAAGGAGATGTCCTTCCATTCTTTGAATAATGACAGGTGGTTGGTGAGTGGCAGACCAGGGCATGGAATGCTGACCAGGGCCCTCTCACTGTCCAGTGCTCTCTGCTGTCACTATCAGATCAGATTGGCCCTCCTGCCCTTTAGGCACACCCGCAGCCCAGCCCTCATGCTGGGAAAGCAGAATCAACAGAACAGTTCTTCCAATAGCCATTGGGCCTCTGGCTTACTTGTCTACTCTCCTAAGAATTGGTTTGAGGGACAGGTCTTTGTCACTCCTGAGTCTCTGTGGCTGTCTCCGGCCCACAGGCCAGCCCTGGAAGGTGTCAGGCCCAGCCATAGGGAAGAAGGAGCCAGCTGCCTGACAGTCTCCGCTGCAAACTCCAGGGAGAAGCCSAGGCTCCCCTCTGATGGACACAGCCCGTGTGGCCACATTCACCCAAGGCTGGCTCTGCTGCGGTGCTCCCTGCCTCGTCTCATTTAATCTTCCCTGCAGCCC